CCCCCCCCACCCACACACACACACACACACACACACTCCTCCATCCCCACCCACCCACCCATCAGCCAGCTCCCCACCCTCTCTGAACGTGTAATAACAAAGCGTTGATCAATAAAGTGTACTTTCCAGTGAGTCAGGACGGACCTGGACCCCCCCCCTCTTTGTTCCACCGCCAGCAGCAGCGCAACAGCATCCGTGTTAGCGCAACAAAACAGAGTTACAACCTCCGACTTCTAAAATGTTGCCGCACTCATCTTTAAGCCCCCTTCTCTTGAGAGACTCCTTCGCCCAAAAAAAAAAAAAAAAAAAAAAAAAAAATTCCCTCCCTGCCTCCGAGCTACTTGTGAAATGTTCAAGCGTTACAAAGAGGTTCACAACTATTAAAACACAGCTCCGTTCCTTGCACGAGCCCCGGGATCCAGTCCGGTGTGATACAGGTATCGTGTAATGTATCCCGTTCACACTGACTGTGGGGGACAAAGTGCTTGTTTGTGGGTGACACAATGCTACAGCGAAGAGGAAACATGCTGGTATACAGCGACATTGTAACAAGTGCGATTCGGGCTTTGCGCAACAAAAACAAGAAAACTCACCACAACTCCTGTAGCGCCCAGAGGAAGCCTGAGGCGGGGGGGGGAGAAGAAGAAGAAAATAAATCAAAGCCAAGTAGGAATTTCTCCTCTCTTGCTCTTCCACGTTTTTCAACCCCCGGCCCCTGCCTCCACACCCCAGGAACCGAGAGTCTGAGCGGGGTGGGGGGACCTGGGTGATAGCAGAGGAGGGAAGCACGATCTGGGACACACAGCCAACACTTCGCAGTTAGTTAATCTGCTGAATCCAGGCGAGGACGGCACCCCCCCCCCCTAAAAAAAGTCCTTGATTCGCCCTAACTTGTCGACCCTTAGGAGTGTACTTTCTCAACCTCCCTGGATGTTAAATCCCACGGTTTATCCGCTGTATCCGGGCGCGTCGGCCGACTATTCTAGTCCGCCATGTTGTGTGTCTGTCTGCATAGGAAGAATGGGAAGCGAACAGCAAATTCCCAGGCCAGGCCTCGTCTCTTCTCCACTTTTGTTTCTCCACAGCCCGCAGCGACACCTGCTGGCCGACATGGAGCTCACACGATCCAGACTGCCACACCACCGTCACTGCAGCGAGCTCCATCAGCACACTGCAGGCTGGGGACCTCCAAGGGGTCCACGAAGGGCCCCTGACTCAGTTTCAGCGTCCCTTTCGGTTTATCAACAGAGCTCGATGAGGGGCGCGTTGTTGTGTCTGTCTCTTTTCTTCTTCCTTGTAATACAGGATATATTTAATATAGGATCTCCAGCTCCAGTATTCAATGTTTTGAAGGTGGTTTGTGGTGTCACATTCATGAATAAAGTAAAATAAAAATACAATTGTTTGAGAACAGACCATAAAACTCAAGAAAAAAAGCTTGAATCATATAAGAAAAATAAATGATCCAAAACTCAGAAAATGTAGAAAAAGATCAGAAAACTCAAAATATAACGAAGTACATTAATAAATTATATTGTTAAATAATTAAAGAGTGGGTTTTTTAAACCAAGTGATCGGAAGTTAAAGGAAAAGTGTAGAACTTCGTATAAAAAAAGTTACATTTTTTTAATATTTTAATTATGCAACCAAACACATTATTTATGGATGTATTCTGCTATATTTTGTGACTTGTCTGATCACATTTTAATACATTTTGACAGTGTTGGGTCCTCTATAAAATGCAAAGGCTTATTGCCTAAAAAGTCAATAAAAGTAGCTCAATGTGTTGACGGTTTTAATAGTAAAGTTTTACGACCATGTTAGAAATCCTGTTGGTCAGTGGTGAATGTTTATATCTTAGTCATTTTATTACTGTAGCTGAATAACTTTGAGGTTTAAACTAGACAACTAGACAAAACAAGTACTTTAAATTGGGTTTGGGAAAATTGGACCATGCACCAGAATGGTACAAAGCAAGCAGCTTTATAGATCCTGCAGTCCACCTGACGTGCATGTTTGGACACACAGAAGCTTTCCCTTGAAACGGAGCTCCTCATGCCGTGTCCTTCCTGCTGAGTGAGCCACCAGAAGCCCACTACATCAGTCTACTAACATTCACACAAGGATTTTGCACACAAGATGTTATATCTCATTTATTATTCATATTTCATCATGAATAAAGAAGCAATGAAGCTAAACCGTGAAGTTAATAAATAATATGAAAGTATACATACATACATGTTTTGACTGCTTATCCAGACATAAAACAATTAAGAGGCAATTACAGGATTTTGCCAGAGAACAGAATATAAATATCTGGTGTGCATCAGTCTACCAGCATGGGAACATGTTTTCTACTTATAAGACTTTGCATGTTCAACTCACATTTATCTCTTAGATGTCAAAGTTAATGTGTTAAACTCAACTGCAAGCCAGAGGTTGTGGATATTACAGCTGCACATTTCATCTGCATTTCACTGTATTTATATTGAAAAAAAGTGTGAAAACTGTTGCTGGAATATACTTTGTGTGTACAATCATTTAAGAGATCAGTTCAACAGGATGTAAATAAAAAAATAATAGCGTGTGTGCGTCTCAGCAGCTGACAGATTTGCAAATATAAAGCTCAGACTGCAAGGTTAGCAATGACAGCCTGGGTGAACTCGTCGCTTGAGGCGTAGCCCCCCAGGTCTCCAGTGCGCACCTGTTGCAAACATAAGGACAGTTTGTTACCATATGCACAGCTGCAGCAACACATGTCCACATACAGCATCATGGCCTGCATGTCAGAGAGCCTTTCAAAACTGCACTCACAGATTACACGAAGTGTGATCAGCGAGATGTGTACTTTTAGAAAACAGTTTAATTTCCTACGCTATGTTCTCTTCTTTATTTTCACTCATTTTTTACCTTACAATAGGCTAAACTATACCAGACACATAATGTACATTTATAAAGTAGAAACAGTGTTCGATGTTAAGGATACAAGCAAACACATTGCCCAACATGCGTTGAATCTTATCTTATTAATTAGTATTCAACCCTGTTATCATTCAGGACAACTGTGACTGTTAAGAGACAGAATGTTATTTATTCAATATCACACGTTTGACAAGCTTTAATATGCAAATATGAAATCTCCATCAAGGATTCGCTATCTGTATCAGAAGGGAAACTAAATTTCAAAAAACTAAAAAAAAAGGACAGGACACTGTTTACACTGGAACATTTGATAAACGTGAATGCACCAAATAATATTAATATTGGTGCTTAGCAACTGGCTACTTGTGAAGGCTTATATTTCAGCAGAGTAGGACAGAAAGCATGACAGCTGGGGAGGTGACACAGAGCGGCATTTTTAATTCGTACAGCATCGGACGTTCTGTTGGAACGAGCAGCACCATCTCATAAAATTCTTTTGCATATAAGCCCTTGGAAATGATGTTTAAATATACAAAGTTATGACCCATTTCATTTGTTGTCGCAAGACTAAAAACTAATCAGAAAATCCTCAGTTTATCAATTCATAATAACACCCAGTGAAGCTGCTGGGCACTGAGAACATCACATAGGGAGGTTTTCTTTAGTTATTAATCTGTAGAATTATTATAACTCTCTGAAGGATATTTCAGTCAATGGAGTAATACCTGAACATAGAGTACATCTTGATGATTCTATATATTGATAAATACTAAGTTACATTAGTCGTTGCTTTACAATGTGTGATAGCAGAGAGGTAGTCTGTAAGGACATGAAAACAGGAGAGGAAAAAAAAGCTCTCCCAGAATGAGTCAAAAGATTATCGTAATAAGTAAAGGAATGCAAAGAGATGGACAGTAACTATGAGGGAAAATGTAAAGATGATATAGATGGAAATACATGAGAGGAAGCCTCACGAGTGGCACATATTTTAGTGAAGTTCCACCTAAGACACAGTTGATGAAACATACATTATGATGCAACCGATGGTGCTCGTCAAAACTGTGTGGCTCAACTGTCAATGGCAATGAGAGGGGAGTTGAGTCTGAACACGCGTCCAGTTCATGTCAAGAACAATGTCCAGATTAAGGAAATGTCGGTGACGGGTGCGACGACATCTTATTAAACAGGTCGGCGATGCAGGTTTTCCACAACAGTACGCACAAAGTCGCTAGTGGTGGAGTACCCACCAAGGTCTCGTGTCCGCACCTGGGACGTACGTACACGTGTACACACACACACACACACACACACACACACACACACACACACACACAGTAATGGGGTACAAGGAGAGGAGGGATTTAAAGTAAAGGGAGGAGGGAGAGGAAGGGCACTTCAGACAACGTGCAGGCAAATTCTGCAATTTCTTTAAATTGATCATTTCTTACATCCACATTGTCTCAAATACAAAAGCTACACCAACTGAAAGAACAGCGTTTGACATGGCTTTTAAATGAGCAATGAAAGAAAAAATAAAAAAAAGTCTGTCATGAAGTTGTTGCTGAGATTTTTAGAGATGAATCGACCCATGCATTTTATCTGAGGGACTACGGTTGACCCGACGTCATGCTAGTGTTTGTGTCAGTGTTATTGTCAACATTGATCAGGTGCAAAAGGAAGTTAGTTTAAAATAGTTGTCCTGGTAACATTTACCTTGCACGTTTATAAGGTTGAAAATGAGCGAGGAAGAGAAATGCAAGAGGAGAGCTAAAGTAAGATGCATACGCATGTATACAGTCTGGAAAATAAGTAACTGAAGGCTCTCTAACACACTAAAGTACAGTTTAAAGGTTGTTAAATGTAAATTATTGTTAATAGTGTTAGTGTTGTCATGGCAGGTGTCTCCACACAGCCTGAATGCACCTGCGGGCATACAGTAGGTAGAACTATCATTAACACACACACTTACCTTGCCCTGTTTGATGACCCTCTTGACAGCATCAGACACCATTTGGGAGTGATATTCCAGGCTGCAATACAATACAGTGACAGTACACATGTCAACATTCAAACAAAACAGGCACTTAAGGCTGTTTTCTAAGGCTGGAGGCGTGCGGTGGGCCAGGACAGAGGGTTAGGAGGTACGGGGACTTCTTCCAACAAGAACCAAGAGGATGACTCACTTGAGGTGCCTGAGCATGTTAGCAGCACTGAGCAGCATGGCTGTGGGGTTGGCAATGTTCCGTCCTACAGCATGTGCAAAGGGGTGGCGTGCGCCCTGAAAGGGAAAAAAGAGATGAGGAATAAAGTATGACACTGCTGCAGTGCTGTACGTCCTCTCCATCACCAAGTTAGCATTAAATAGCTTATTGCTATTTTCTGAAATGCACTGTTAATATTTATTTTGCCATACATTCGAAAAACAAACTCTAAACAGATGATTTGGAGAAAAACCAGAGAATGACTGGCTGTCAAAACAACTGAACAGTCAAGTGGAAACTCACAGTCTCAAACACAGCGTAATCTGCACTGTAGCTTTCCCCAGGAACAACTCCCGCTCCTCCAACCAGCCCGGCTGCCAGGTTATCAATAATGTTACCGTACAGGTTGGGCATCACCAGCACGTCGAACTGGTACGGGTTCTGGACCAGCTGCAGCACAGACGATGAGACGTTTGAACAAGAAAAGGAAAAGTGACACTTGTACCCAAGCAGCGGATCATGTATTGATAAAGTCAGGGGAATGAATTGGGAGGCTGTATATACCTGCATGCAACAGTTGTCAATGATTATGTTCTCATATTTGATTTTGGGGTACAGTTGTGCCACCTCCGCACAGCACTGCAGAAACAAGCCATCTGCTAATTTCCTGTAATAAGACAGGAGAGGAGGACAAGTGTTGCTGTAACTACAATGCAAATCTCCACCAAAATTAAAACCATTTTAAGAATTAATACAGGAATATGATTTTTTTTTTAAAATAATAAAAAAGCAAAGAGGGAGCGTTTCTATCTCCTTACATGATGTTGGCCTTGTGAACAGCGGTGACCTTGCTTCGTCCCTTCTTGGTGGCGTAGTCGAAGGCAAACTTGGCGATGCGCCGAGACTTAACTCTGGTGATGATCTTCAAACATTCGATCACACCCGGCACACTCTACAGAGCAGGAAGAAGGTGCATTCATATCAAGCTATGGCTATCGACAATGCAAGATAATTACCTACAGCAGCACACTAGTCAGCTGTTGACGGACCGGATTTCCCTTCAATTTTAATGAACGAAGCTCTCGACACCGCTCGGCTCATATTTTACACACACATACAACTGTAAACTGTCTTTTTAGAGCTTGAAGTAGGAGGCCAGTGAGGACACGGTGTAAATGGTCAGACTGCCAACAAATATTTATAATAAACTGCGTCTACAGGACAGCTAAAGAATCATTGTATGAGTAGCAATGAACTTAAGCTCCCCTCCAATAAGTTGTTCAAAAGAACACCTGAATTAAACACACACACACACACACTTCAGCACCTCTGGCAGAGTGATTCATCTTTGTTTTGAGTCGCGGTTTAATGCTGGCCAAATCTCTGTGGGCTCATGGGAAATCTCCCTCTTTGAAGAAGAAAAACATTTACTTTTCATGTGGGTTTTAAACCACTGTTCATCCTCTGACTGCAGTGAGGAGGAGTGTTGTTTACCTCGTGTTCAAGGGAGCTGTACTCCCCCTCGGTCTGTTCGCGGATGATGACCAGGTCCAGGTTGTTGTGGCGAGTGCTGTAGCCCGGGAGGCTGTTCACATGAACCACATTAGCAAATAGGTCCAGTTTACGCCTGGGGAATGGATAGGGAGGTTGTTATTTCTTTATTTTTTTTAAACAACAGAAAAAAACTCCACTAAAAACACACAAAAGAATGCCCAAGTTATTTCCTGGTTTTACCTCAGTCTCATATCATATGAAGCAAGCTCCCCTTTGAATTCCATGGGTGTGTTAATCTTCCCTGGATAACAAAGTATGTCATAAAGATACATATTAGTTCCATTGCCGTCTTTTAAATAACTCATTTTGTTGTTATTAAATGGGGGTGAACGATGAGAGTAGTAAAGCTACCTTTAATGGCCACTTTGTTGGTCTTCATAGAGGTTAACACTTGCTCCAGCCTCTCCTCACTGGCCATGTTCTGTACCTCACTCAGGTGAAACTCCTCAAATACTACCGGGACATCTCCTGCCTGGAGACAAGACAAAAATAAAATCAGCTTTAAAAATCAGCAATTAGAATAAAAAGAATTAAAACATATGTCATCAGCAAAAATAGATGCTCAATATTTGAGCAAGAGTGGGACAAAAACTAAATCAAACAAAATGTAAAAATGTATTTAGTATTGAGGTTTGTTTATTTCCTTCTACACAAAGCTATAGTGCACCGTATGTTTTCTGAGAAGACCAAGAGCAGAGATGATTCCACCGTCGTCATTGTACTAATTACCTTGAACACGTCTTTGACGGCGGTCATCAGCTCAGGTCCCACTCCGTCCCCCGGAACCATCGTGACCTTAAAGATCGCATCGGCACGCGCCGGTGGGGCTTCAGGGCCACAGCGGCCAGCAGACACACTCAATGGTCGAGAGCCCAGCTGCTGCCACCGGGGGCCACTCAAGCTCTTAAGGATGGGAAAGAAGACAGTTACAACAAAACAACAACATTCTTCCTTTTCTTTTCTTTAATCATGTGACCACTCAGATTTATCTTGAGAGAGATAAATTAAATACAAGGTATCAGGCCATTATGGGCAGCAAATGAATGAGCAATGTTATATGAGAAATACTGCTTTATGGGAGCACTGTTTTTATTTTTATATGATTTTTGCATCAATGTGAGGTATCACAATTGCTGAATTAGCCAGATTGAGGTGGCAGAGATGGCTTTTTGTCTGTGTTGACATGAATGATCATCAGTCAACCTGTGGGCAGCATGGGAGCTACAGGGATTAAATCAAATAAACAATTCACTTCAGCTGTCAGAATGACAACTCACCATCTGCAGTTTTAAAGTGACAACTACACGTCTCTTCTTAACTCTCACTGACATTTAAGGATTTGCCAAGTAAGAAAACTGGAGATGCCTGACAACTAAAACAAAAGTGATCAAATCACGAGCACAAATTATTAAAGATAAGTGATGAGGCAAACAGAATGCTCTAGTCTGACCGTTGGGATTAACGGGTTGTCAGGGTTAACGTTAACTGAGTTAGCTCGCGTTAGCTCACGAGCTCACATAACACAGTTATAAATGCGGCAATTGACTTGTTTGACGAGTATCTACTTACGACTGAGATTTATTTACTCGTTGACCAGCTGACAAAACCAGATGGACCCACAACAGAGCTTTTTATCTGAACTTGGCTATTCAAACGGAGTGGCTCATGGTTAGCAACAATACGCAAATGTCACAAACCAGACCGACTCTTTCTTCAACAGTTAAAAATAACTTGCTGCTTGGGTTCAACAAGTACAACTTCAACTACTGCTAGTACTTTCCTACCGACGTAGGCGTAAAATAAGGAAGCAAACATCATCTATGCACTCACCTTGACCAATGTTACCAGGCTTCCTCTCAGGGTGGCGGCCATCGTTACAGGCACGCAGCGTCTGAGCTTCTTCTTCTGTGGTTTTTCTTCTTCTTTTTAGTTTATTGGCGGACTACAAACGTTTAGGTGCATGCCGCCACCGACTGTACCGGAGTGTGTAACATCATAACTTTATGACATTTGTCATTTAAACACAATAATATTGTTATTTTTTATAAATAAAATGAAAACTAAATAATTAAAAAGTAATTAAAAAAAGCCATTTAACCTCTTCTGTGGTTCAGCAGTAGTGCGTTAACTACAGAACAATAGTGCCCCCAAGTGGACAGAAAAGGAGACAGAACAGTTCTGCAGAGATGGTAGGGAGCAACATGAGAACATCATATCATATTGCAAGTCTGAAACATGCAGTCTATTATTTACTAAAACATAGAAAACAGAGCTCTGAAACAAGAGAGGGGTGATGATGAAAAATACCCCCACTGAAAATAATCTTCAAACACAAACTTGTAACATGCTTTTGTGCATTTTTATGCTGTTCTTTTAACTGCCTTTCTTTCTTTCTTTCTTTCTTTCTTTCGTTCCCCCCCACAAAGTTGTCTCTGAAAAATACGTACAAGATTTCCAATCTACCTGTCCTGTGTCTGTGCAAATGACAATAAATAAATAAATCTAATCTTACGTAGAAATGACCATTAGGTATATTAGGCAATACAGAGTCATCTCATCCTTTGGTTTCCATTTCTCCATTGTGGCTCTTAGTAGAGAAAAAACAAACAACAAAAATAACACACACACACACACACACACGCACACACACACACACACACACACAATCTATATTATGATACATCTGACAAAATGCTTAGATCTGGGATAGTGTAAAAACACAGCAATGGTTGTCTGTATACTTCTGCTCTGCTCTTTTGAAAGCTCTTCATACATGACGATGGCAAATTCAATTTGAAGATGGGATGGCATAGAAAGAAAATAGTCTATAGAAATATATGGTGAAAAATAAATAATCAGAATCAGCTTTATTGGCCATGTACACGTACGCATACAAGGAATTTGACTCTGGTTTTTTGTTGCTCTGCACGTACACACACCGAATTTACAAATAAACAGGAAAAAAATTAAAATATATAAAAAAGAAAAGAAAAATAAAGTGAGGTATTTTGAGAGGTGTACAAAATAGGAAATGGGAAAACCGTACAATATTATGCAATGCATATGATGTTCACCTCACTTTGACTGATTCAGGGGGCCCAGTGCTATAGGGCCCCTGGAACACGCTCGGGATCACAGTTATTTATTATGTCAGAGCTGTTGTTGAGCTGAGCCTCTGTGTCCATCTTTATGTGAACAGCTGATGATGCACATTTTCACATTCACATATACAAAGCTTTCTATAAATTGCTTATAATATTATCTTCAACATTTTGTATTGTTGTAACATTATATTGGCTGCTGCCACATGGCCCCACCCTCTGAAATGGGTCCATCCTAAATAGGTCAGGTGATTCCCAATCCTATTCCAGGTAAGTGATGCTATCTGCTGACACGCGGGATGACATCAGGTTTTAAATTCCCCGCTGTGAAACTGTAGATCAGTGGGCTACAGTCTGACACATAAATAGTCTTCATTTACCTTGTTGGGCATTTCATTTGGGTATTCATGCTAACATAATTTTTTGGGGCAATGTGGGCCATCTGATAAATTGTGTAAATTTTGTCCTGAGCCAGACCTCTCAGGCAAAGCCCTCCTCCTTATTTTGTTCCTAAATATATGCATCTGGAAATAAAAGTTGAATATCTATCTATCTATCTATCTATCTATCTATCTATCTATCTATCTAT